GAGAGAGAGAGAGAGAGAGAGCTTCAACCTTAGCAGTTTTGTGTGTATCTGGAGGAATCCAAAGATAAGAAGTGTGTCAAACTGGGAGCTGGTTCCACATAAGAGAGGTCTGAAAGCTGAAGGCTCTGCCTCCCATTCTACTTTTAAATAACCTAAAAATCACAAGTAAGCCTGCAGTCTGAGACAGAAGTAATCTATTGGGGTGATACAGTACTATGACGTCTGATTAGTCTGTGCTTTGGGGCGTAGCCGGGCAAGGCAGAGTGTCTTAAAGAATTATAAATAAATACATGCACATATGAACATACCCTGTACATATGGAAAACTGTCCCTCTGTCCTCATTGGTCGACTCACCATTTTTTATGTCTCTCTCTCTCCTTCTCTCTCTCTCCTTTTCTCTCTCTACTCTGTTGTGTGTGTATTCTGGTTTTGGTGCAGAAGTGGGACTTCCGGGGTTCCTGGCCTAATCAGACACCTGCTTCTGATTACCTCTTTGTTCCTTCTTCCTACCTGTCCAGATGCTCTACTGGCTAAGGAAGGCCAATTCTTCTGCATCTTAACCATGGGGACAAAGGACCTCAGGCCTCAGCTCTAGACATTTTTCACAGGCGTAACTTAAAAGTCCTCCAAGCATTATTGCCTTCCAAATGGAGAATTCCCTGCTACAGAATGGTCAGCTGTGTTTGGATTGAAAGACATTCTCCAAATAGTTTAGAAACTGTGGACAGCCATATTAGAGTCTCTGATTTTTATTGGAAATTATGTATCGGAATTTCAGGAGCGGGGCCACGCCTCCAAACACGCTCCTTCCGGTTGTCATCTATATAGGTTCTCCCAGTTCTGCAAGCTGTTCATTCTTGTTTACGTGCCCCACCCTCCCTCCTTGTTCTCAGTTCTTTAACTTCTTCATTTCTGTTTAGTGCCTTGGGATCTGCCAGGCCCGGGAGCCATCGCCAGTCCCCTTCGAGGCCTTCCCCAAACAGCAGCTCAATTCATGTCAAAGCATTTACTTTTACCTACTAAAACGCTGTCAAACCTACAGTGTTGGGTAAGTTACTTTAAAATAGTAACTTAGTTACATTACTAGTTACTTCTATCAAAAGTAACTCAGTTACTTCAAGTTACTCGTTACTTTCAAAGTAACTAGTTACTAGGGAAAGTAACTTTGGTTTTACTCAGAATTCT